GAGAACACACATACATACGCAAAAGCTTCTGGTGACTACTGCGTTTTACAAATCCTTTGATGGAAAGAATGCTAAGGAAACAGCAAATAGACGCAGAAAGGCTGGGCCCTAAGATCACAGAAAGGGCTGGAATGACTCATGTGGTCCCTGAGGGTGAGGCAGGGAGAGGGAAAGGCAGTTGAGTTAACATGGCAGCAACTGACCCGTGTGTAATACTGTTTCATCCTGAGTGATCGGATTTTATCACTGTTTGATAGACAAGGGCCAAAGGAGAGATATGAATGAAATGAGGGTGGGAACCTTGTAAATATCTGAGGAGACCATTCCAGACATGTGGTTGAGCAAGGTCAAAGGCCTGGAAGCTGAAATATACTTGGTTTTTTTGTTTTGTTTTAATGTGTTAACACATTGCCAGCAAGTTGATTCTAACTCAAAGCCACCAGTCTCTGGAGAAGTGGACATCATGCTTGGAAAAGTAGAGACTCAGCGAAAAAGAGAGGAAGACCCTCAACTAGATGTATTGACACAGTAGCAGCAACGATCGGCTCAAACATAGATAACAATTGTGAGCATGGTGCAGGACCAGGCGGTGTTTCGCTCTATTGTACATAGGATCATCATGGTACCCCCACCACCACAACAAAGTGTTTATTATTATTACTGTGATGAAAACATACACCCCAAACTTTTGACATCACAACTTCCACCTTATCATTTAATGACAGGGATTTCATTTTTCAAGTTATGGCCCCACTATTAATACCTTCTTCCAAAATGTTGTTGTTGTTGTTGTGCTATCAAATCAGTTCTGACTCATAGCAACCCTGTATTGGGTTTCCAAGAAGCAGCTGGTGGGATTGAACCATCAACTTTGTGGTTAGCAGTTCAATGCTTCTCCTACAGCTTCACACAAAGACTCCCCAAAACATTATACCACCATTAACACAATTCAATGCGGCCCCCCAAGAAAACCCTCCCCTTCTTTCCCTCTGCCTGCTAGTCCCAGTAACCACCAATAAACTTTGTTTCCTACTTGTCGGCTTATTTCACATACATGAGATCATACAGTATTTGCCCTTTTGTGGCTGACTTAGCTCAACTTTTTTTTTTTTTAACTTTTAATGGTGAATTGAGTTTAAAGAACAGATTAGTTCCACATTCAACAAATCAGACTCTTTATTTCATTACAGTATTTGCAGGCCCCTCCTTGTGCCCTGTTAACAAGATTTACCTCTCTTCACTATTTAACTCTTGCATTCCTCCCTGTGTCTTTCTTCTGCCAACCTTCCTCTTGTTGTATATTGCCTGCCCCTTCACCCATGTTAACATGCGTCTACCCTCCAGCCAATGAATAATTTTCCCTTCCCTCCCACTCCTGGTAACCATCATAGAATGTTTCAAAATACATCCATGTCATGCCTACATAAGGACTTATTTATCTTTATGGTTGCATAAAATTCCATTGTATGTTGTTATGGATTGCATGGTCTCTCCCCAAAATGTATATTGTAAACATTAGCCCCTACACCTGTGAATAAGGAGGCTTGGTAGCATAGTGGATTACAAGCTGGGCTGCTAACTGCAAGGTCAGTGGTTCGAATCTACCAGTTGTTCTGCGTGAGAAAGTTGATGCTTTCAGCTCCCGTAAAGATTTACAGCCTTAGAAACCCTATATAGGGTCACTGTGGATATAATTCTAGATGAGAATAGGGCTCCCTTTGTTATGTTAATGAAGTAATATCAGCATAGGGTATTTAAGACAATCACCTTTGAAATGGAGTTCTGGTGTGACACTGCAGGGAAATAAACTAGACCCCAAGGTCAGTTTGAAACTCAAGGTTGGCGGTTCAAACCCACCAGCTGCTCCTCAGAAACCTTATAAAGGGTTGGTATGGGTCAGAACCAACTCAATGGCACTTAACAACAATCTTTGAAATATGAAATTGCAGAATAAGCACAGAAGCACAGATTGGCCGTTTCATATGAAAATTGCTGGGGAATTTAGGAACAGAAAAGACACAAGATCCTTTCTCTAGAACCAAGAGAGACTCTTCTTCTAGAGTCAGTGCCCTGAATTTGGACGTCTGGCCTCCTAAAATGTGAGAAAGTACATTGTTGTTCATTAAAGGCACCCACTTGTGGTCTGGTACTGCACCAGAGCTAAATTACATGGATACACCACATTTTCTTAATCTCGGAATATTCTACATGTATCGGAGAGTCCTGTGATTAGAGCAGAGAATGCCAAACCAGAGCAAATGCATTGATTGTAAATTAGTTCAGCTTTCAGGGGTGGAACTTCGCTGCTATTTACCAAAATTATAAATGCTGGGCTTTAAGACATTCTAAGATGCCTTTTGCATTTTTGAGAAATAATAAATTTATAAGATAATTTATTGCATCATTGCTTTGTGAGAGCACACTAGGGAAACAATATAAACATCGCTCGTTTCCCCCTTTGCAGAACAGAGAAATGTTTGCTTTTGCAAAGTAAGGAGCTTTTGAAGCTACATCAGGAGGGTTAGTCTGAGAGTAGGGAAACATGGGCCAAGAGAGACTCACTGGAGGTTCTGTTAACAAGTAAAGGGTGAATGAAGGAAGAAGGACTGGGAGAGATGGAGTTGAGCGAACTTGGGTGGGGTTCTGGATCTGAGGGTTGGATGGAGCTTTGGTAGCATAGTGGTTATGAGTTGGGCTGCTAACCTCAAGGTCAGCAGTTCGAAACTACCAGCTGTTCTGAGGGAGAAAGATGAAGCTTTCTGTCTCTGTAAACATTTACAGCCTCTGATACCGGTCACTATGTTGGAACCAACTCCACGGTACACCACTACCACAGCTGTAGGATCAGCACACAAGGTTGGGGTTCAAACCCACCTGTTGCTCCTTGGAAACCCTATACAGGGTCACAATGAGTCAGAACGGACTCAACAGCAGTACAGAAAACCATTGAAGTGCACACTTTAAGTGGGTGAATTTTATATGTATTATCTCTCAGAAAAACAGCACTCACCAAACCACATCATTAGGTTGAATCCAACTGCTACTGACCACACAGGAGAGAACAGAATCGCTCCTTAAGGTTTCTGACACAAAATCTTGTTAATTTTTTTAATCATCGGTTTTCAACCAATAATAAACTTCGTTTCATTAGTGTGATTGCATCAGTATAGGAAATATTTACCTCCATACACTTTAGCTCTTGTACTCCTGGGGAAACTGTAATCCTTTCCCGGAACAACTTCATCTTTCTTTCTTTCTTGTTGTTGTTAAGTACCTGGAGTTGGTTCTGACTCATAGTGACCCTGAACAGGGTTTCCGAGGCTGCAAATCTTTACGGGAGCAGAAAGCCTCATCTTTCACCTGCGGAACAGCTGGTAGTTTCGAACTGCCGACCTTGAGGTTAGCAGACCGATTCGTAACCACTACGCTAGTAAAGATTCACAGCCTCGGAAGCCCTATGCAGGGTTGCTATGAATTGGAACCGACTCCATGGCCCACCACAACCACCATCAAGAGCAATAACAAATAAACTGCTGAATCCTGTTGCAGCGCTGTAGGGTAAGCACTGGACTGCAAGGTCCGTTTGAACAGAAAGGTCAGTGGTTCAAACGCCCCAGCCGTTCTTCGGAAACGCTATACAGGGTCGCTATGAGTTGGAACCTACTTAATGGAACTTAACAACAATGTACTGCTATTTCTCAAATTCACGTTCTATTCCCAGACTCTGGTCCTTTCGGTCTCAGTTTGGCCACCTCTTGTCCAGCCTGCTTCCTACTTAAACATAGACACTCAGCCCTCCAGACTTCTGTCTCCTAGAAGCCAGAGAGATGTCCTGGAGGCTTTCAAGACCCTGAGTTCATTTTAGATCTCCTGGAAACCCTCTTCCCCAACCCCCATGATTTGATGTCTGAATACTGGTTGTACTGGTTACATAACAATCACAGTCCCCAAAGCTCTGACATCACCCCCTGAAGATTCTCACCAGGGGGACTATGTGTGGCCAGGAATGATGGCAGGGAAACAAGCCTAATGGAACAGCCAGGAACTGGTAAGGGGGCAGGGCACAGCCAGAGTTAGGTGGGAGTCAAAGATGGTAGTGGTGGTGACCCTGAGAGGAAAGAGGAAGCATTTGGGCTTTTTAATTCCCCTACCTTCCCACAAGATTTCATTGTTGCCCCACATTTCCCCTCTTGTCCACATGGGGAATTTCCGATTTCACTTCCTCAAAAAGCAAGTGGTCAGAGGGCCTCCACTTCCTTTTTCCCCTCCCAAAGTGGCAACCTCTCCAAGGAGCCTCCTCCCTGCCTCCACCCCACCATTCTCTCTGTTCAGGTCTCCATCTCCAACCCTTCTGGCCTGAAGGGAGGCAAGGCCTCTGGCTGTTAATCTGTTTCCCTCATTTTTCTTTCCCTAATTGCCACCCTGCTTTGGGCTCTCCACTCCCAGTATTACCCCTTTTTGGTTTCTCTGCCTCTTAAAGATTAGGGGATGAGCGGGAGTAGTGTGTGTCACGGAAACAGGGGCAAGATGAGGAAGCGAGAAAGGGCAGTGCAGGAAAGGAGGAGTCGTGGCCCCCGGGTCTTCTAACACTTTTGAGGATTCTTCTCGTTGAAGAGGAGTAAACTGGGATGGGTGTGGGGTCAGAGAAATTGAGTGTTTCTTGAAACCATGAAAGCACAGCGAAGCAGAACGCCTCGCGCCCGACTCCCACTTCCCGCCTTACTAACCGCAGCGCTTCCGCGAGCCGCCCAACTAGGGGCGGAGCGAAACAGGTGCGGTTGCCACGGTACCAGACAAGGTATCCAACGTCGGAGAGCGGAGTAAGCCCGGCTCGCGAGATTTGGCACCGGCCAATGAGAGGCGGAGGAGGGGAGGACGTGGCGCTATCTTGTGGGCGGGGACAGGGAGGGCTCCTCCCCTCCTCTTCTGAGGCCCCCCTCGGCGCCGCGCGGCGGGGACGCGCGCCCCGGAACGTGGGAGGGGTGGGGGCCTAGCCTTATAAAGGGCGCACGGCGGGGCGCGCGCTCCACTCTGCAGAAAGTACCTCCGCCGGCCTTGCCGTGCGCCTGCGCAGTGTGGGCCGCTCCCGCCCCCGGCCCCGCCGTCGCTCCTTCGCCGGCCGGCCCGGCCTTACCTCGGCCTCGGCCCTCACCCCTCTCTCAGCCGCCGGTCTGCCCGCAGCAGCCAGCACCGCGTCCAGAAGCATGTTTAGCTGGGTCAGCAAGGATGCCCGCCGCAAGAAGGAGCCGGAGCTCTTCCAGACGGTGGCCGAGGGGTTGCGGCAGCTGTACGCGCAGAAGCTGCTGCCCCTGGAGGAGTACTACCGCTTCCACGACTTCCACTCGCCCGCCCTGGAGGATGCCGACTTCGACAACAAGCCCATGGTGCTCCTGGTGGGCCAGTACAGCACAGGCAAGACCACCTTCATCCGGCACCTGATCGAGCAGGACTTCCCGGGGATGCGCATCGGGCCGGAGCCCACCACCGACTCCTTCATCGCGGTCATGCACGGCCCCACCGAGGGCGTGGTGCCCGGCAACGCGCTGGTCGTCGACCCGCGGCGACCCTTCCGCAAACTCAACGCCTTCGGCAACGCCTTCCTCAACAGGTACTCCCTCTTGTTCCCGAGTGGGGAGCTGAGGTCCGGACCCCGACCTGACCTGCCCGTGGCCACCGCCCCCACCGTCCTTTGTCTCCGAGGCTCGGGCGAGACCCTCAGCAACCACTACCTGGGAATGGGGTCCCCGTGGCGTCCCAAATGAATCCCACCCCGGGGCTCTGGCCAAGGGCGTCGCCGGATTCCCCCAGCTTCTACCGCCTCCAGAATTGTCTAGGTCATCAGTTTAACGCCCATACCCTCCCGCAGACCCCAACCCTACTTCCCAGGGGCCGCGTTGGGAAGATGACAGATTCCGGTCCGCCCATTCTTGGTCTCCACCTCCTGCCCCAGTCTTGTCCTTCCCTGGGGCGGGATGCTCTCGATTCATTCAAGCCTCTCCCCGCCTCCCTCTTGGCTTCTTTCAGGGGGTCTGTCTGTTACGCTTCAAGGGAAAACCCTTTGTGACTGTTAGCCATTTCCTAAGCTAGTGTGGTTTGCATTTCTCCTCTGCCTCCTCTGGGGCCATGGAGCCTCAACTGTGACCTAAGAACTTGGGCAGCCTGGCTGCTGACACTTCACCCAGGATTGAGTCCCAGGTCCGAAGCCCCTCTGTAGACTCTCTAGGAGGCTCGCTAGCTTCAGTTTCTCCAGAGTGAGTGAAGCTGGCTGTGGACGCTGAGATGGGCACTGAGAATGCAAGGCCGCGGGCTCCCCGTTCACCTTTCTCTAAAGGAACTCAAAAGATGCTGATCAGTGGTCCCAGGCCACTGACCCCCACCCCCCACCTACCGACTCCATAGCAAGGGACATCACAGCTCCTGCCCTCTTTCAGGGAGCCAGGAACTTTGATAGCATAGTGGTTACGGGCTGGACTGCTCACCTCAAGGTCAGCAGTTTGAAACTACCAGCTGTCCTGAGGGAGAAAGATGAGGCTCTCCATAAAGATTTACAGCATCAGAAACCCTGTACAAGGTTGCTATGAGTCAGACCCAACTCCCCACTCCACTGCATGTAACCATTCAGGGGGTGACTCCACGTGCCTTTCAAAGTCGGACTCTAGGGAGGAGCCTAGAAAAGAATCCTTGAATCCTGCTGGCCAGGTTTCCGCCCTGTACAATCACATTCCTTTCCAGATAGTGGCCAACCCCATAGGGTGGGCCAGTCTGTCTCTGAGCCGAGCCAGGGCTGACCTTTCTCAGTAGACTGGTGATTTCTCCTGGCCTCTCTGCCCCTTCTTTGTGTGTCCTGTTTCATGGTGACCGGGATATGTGTGCAGGAGACCAGAGTTGAGCAAAGCCTTTAGCTGAGGCTCCAGGGAGGTAGGGTTTAGGACCATGGTCCCCGCTAGAAGGCAGTTGGCTCACACAGCTAGCTGGTGGGAGCAATACTAACTGGTGGAAAGTTTGACTGTTTTATTACTAGCAAGTTTGTGGAGCACTTTTTGCTGCTATGGTCATTCCAGGGTTCCTACTTTTACCCAGAACTTCGGGACTAGACCGAAGGTTTGCTCCACTTGCCTCTGCTCTCTTCAGGGCTTCACTTTGGAATGTTTCAGAGCAGACTTTTATTGAAGGGAGAGCCACAAAGAGCACCTGACCTCTTTCTGAATCTGATGACCAAAGTAACCTTGGACCAAAGTAATCTAGGCAGCAGCCCTCCTTCCCTGACTGGTTGAGGAATCTGAGGCTTAGAGGCCCCAGATGACTTCTCGAGGTCACTGCTGCCCCAGCCACCTGCTTCTACACAAAAAGGAACAGACAGGAACACTTGGTCCTCAGCTACCACACAGACCCAGGACCCAGGTGCCACACTTTTATTTTCCTTCCTGCCACCACCACACCTCCAGAGGGTTCCTGACTGCTAGTGGCCCAGCCCTGTCAGGGTGAGGTTTTGCTCCTGCTTGTCCTTTGTCAGGATGTGTGGTGCACGGTGCCTTGGGGAAGAGAGGGCATGACAAAGGGGGCTTGTCTCTGGCTGATACAGCCTCTCCCAGACGCTTAAAGAGGCCCATTGAATCCTGAACTTGACTTTAAACCCAAGCGGCAGCTTGAAGACGAAAAGCAGCTGGGGCTGACCTTGGCAGGGTGCAATCCTAAGAGTGTCTTGTGAAAACCCCTCGTTGCATAAGTGGTACCGCCCACTCTTGAGAGATGAGATCTGGGCACCCTGGCTGGAGAGAAGATGTGACGGGACCCCTCTGCCTGGCTCATTCTTGACCATTTCTTGCCAACCCTCACTGACCTTTACCAAGGCCCTTGGTGCTGACTCGTTCCGACAGGAATTTGCTCACCAGGCTCCTGACAAACCTTTTTGACGGGTGTGTCTTCTCTGAGCCAGTCCACTGGCACGTGTTTTTATTATACTATCTTTCCTGGTGCGCGGTTATTTATGGCCTGCAATGGTCCCACTGTTGTGCTAATGAGGGTTAGGTCCAAGGTTTGCTAGTCCCATGCGTAGGTCAGCTGGTTCTGCTTTCTTGGCTTTTGCGAATGGCACCTCTCACCCTGGCCAGCTGCTCCCAGCCTGTGGGCCACTGGTCACTTGGGGGATGGGCCAGAAGGCTGCACCAATCAGTTGAGATTCCCCACCCTCTCTGTTGGACAGGCCGTGTTAAGCCTGCATCCTGCCGACAATGGTTCAGTATTTTCTTTGCTAACAGTACCTTTTTCAGAGGATTGTACAAGGAACCTCTTTTGTGTCTAGTAAAGAATCCCAGCTATTAGTCGGGACAGCCCCTCCCTGTTCTAAGTTTAGTGTGGAACGCAAGCACACACAACTAGCCCTGGCCCCTGAGTCTCAGGCCCCTGGGCTTTGTTTTTGCTGAGCCTAGTTTGATTTTCAGAGAACGGTGCATCTGTGCTCCCCCACCCCACTAGCAGCCAGTCTGAGCTCTCTTGGCTGTTACTGTTAGCACCCATTGCCTGAACCCCAAAACAGACGGAAGGGACCATTTCTGTCTGGTGTGTGAACATTTTGCCAAGCATTGAGCAATCCAAGGTTCCCGTGTGTCACCCTCGTGTTTCCCTTCAGAGCTGAATGGTGACCGTCACTAGTGGAATGTTCACTAACAAGTCAGCAACTTGCAAGTTGAACTCTGAAACTCTGGGGGAAACGGTCCTGGAGGGCAGTGCTGAGGTGGGTCCGTTTCAGCCTGTTGGTTGGGTTCCCAGTTGAGAAAGACCGTACGTATGCTGGCTACCCTGGAAATAAGATGGTGGCAGCGATCTTGAAGTCGTGTGCTTCCAAAAAGGAAGCCAAGGTGGCAGGTGATGAAGGTGTGCAGAAAGCCCTGTCATCACATCTCATGTCTCGAGGCCTTGGTCTGAGCCCTCGCCCCCATTCTTGTCGCCTGCAGGTTCATGTGTGCCCAATTGCCCAACCCCGTCCTGGACAGTATAAGCATCATCGACACGCCTGGAATCCTCTCCGGCGAGAAGCAGCGCATCAGTAGAGGTAACCGCCAGGCCATCTGGTCGAGACAGATCACTTCTGTTTGGTGTCTGGAACAGAGAGGGACCTGATGCTGCATTTGAAGTTTCTTCTCACTCCGGGATCTTGTTTTCAAGTGTCCAAGTGAAAAGCCCACAGACAGGAGCCAGGCATGGCTCTTTTCCTTGGTTCCCTGTGGGATGCTCAGAAGAGCAGTCAAGGGGAGACCACAGCTAATTTTGGGTGGCCCTCGTGCCCTCCAGCCCTCCGGACATGCTGGAAAGGGGACCCGATTAGTTGATGGGGGCCTTGCCTCCACGGTATACCCCATGGTTGTGCCCAGGTTCTGTGAGTGTGAATGTGGGCCCATGGCTCCAAGGCTGTGTACATTCCTAGGAAGCCCATCAGGCTCCTGTGAGCCAAAGGGAGCCAAAGCTGTTAGACATTGAGGGGGTGGTGGGGATCCGCTGAAAGTGTGACCAGCGGCAGCCTTTGCATGCTGTGCCTGGTGTAGGGACCTTCATGGTATGTGGTGCATGGAATCAAAACTGTTCTGAACATCTGCTTGGGGATGAGTCTGCACTGGGCTGTGTTTCTGCTGCGGCCCCTTTGGTGGTGGAAGGAGGGGGCAGCATGATGTCAGGTGGGTGGCACCTGACTGTTTAGAAGTGGAGCCTGCTCTGCAGCTGCAAACTCTGGGGTTCAGGGCAAGTGCCAGGCTTGTTTCTGATTAACTTGCAAATCTCTAAACCTGTGTCCCTCTGGGCCAGTCAGCAGTGGGGAGCTTTGCTGTGGAAGCCACAGCCTGAGATTTGGAGGTGGGGGTGTCCTTGTCTCTCTGGTGACTTTGTGGGGGGCCCCTGTTCAGGGTGCTTTGTTTTCCAGGCTGTACACATACCAAACCTGCTCTGTGTGTCTAAATTGGGTTTAAAAGTCACTAGTTCAGAGCCTAGCTTCTGTCCACCTTGGGGATAAATGTCACTCCTGGGAGCTGAAGGGCGATGATTTGGGCCCCCTTGTGAAAAAGCCAGGGTTGTTTTTGCTCTTTTTTTACGACACTCTAATATCATACCCGATCAGCCCTGGTAAAGTAGTGGAGGAAGTTCAGCAGTTTAAATCTACCAGTCGCTCTGCAGGAGAACGATGCGGCTTTCTGCTCCTTTAAAGATTTACAGCCTTGGAGACCCTCCCTGTACAGGTTTGCTATGAGTCGGAACTGACTCAGTGAAAAACAAAAAACAATCAAGTATCATGAAGTCCTGGTGTGGCGCTGTAGGGTAAAGTACTAGACCACAAGGTCAGGTTGAACCACCAGGTTGACGGTTCAAACCCACCAGGCACTCCTTGGGAAACCCTGTACAGGGTCACTATGAGTCAGAACCAACTCTATAGCATTTAACAATTGGCTTTTAAGATAAGCAACGGCTGTCATTTGGTCAAACAAGGCTAGAAAATTGGGCTGAGTTACTCTTAAAAGGTCAGAGAAGGAGCCATAAAAGAGTGTTTCTTCCCAGCCTCCCTCCAGGGCCGAGGCTCTGCTGAGTTATCTCGGCACACCTGGAGGAGGTGGTGGACGTGGGTTCCCCTGCCCCGGCCATCAGGTAGGGGCCAAGTCACCTCACAGCTTTGTACAATGCTCCTGTCCCAATTGGCCAGCAGTGCTAAACAGATTACCCAATAAGCAAGGTAAGCACAACCTTGCTAACTTTGAAAAGAGGCTTTGCTCCTTCACGAAGAAGGTTCTGTGGGGTTGAGAGGGAGACATAATGCCAGCTACACCTAGAAGCAGAACTTGGATGTGGTGAAATTGTTTACTGTAGATTAGTAAGCAAACACAAACACGCCTGTGCTCATATTGCTTTGCTTACTGGATAATCTGACATTGTGAGAACACATCTTTGGATAAGAAACAACAGCCCCTAGAAAGAGGCAAATCTTCCCAGAATGCCATTGCCCCAGCCCTCAGAGCAGGCAGTAAAGGTCTGTCAGATCAAAGGTCTAGAGTTCTGTGACCTATGTTGTCTCAGAAGAAGGAACTCCGAAACAGCTGGTTTCCGTGCACAGCGCTGGTGGAGCCCCCACGAGGGCTGTCTTTGCAAGTCAAAGCCAGAGCTTAGCAGACTGAGAGGTTTGGAACACAGGGCTTGATGTACCTGGTTCTGCCCTTCTGGGCACCTTCCCTCCCCAGCTTTGGGGCTGGGCAGAGCAGCCTGACTGCTCAGGCCCCTGAGGTGAAAGGCATCCCCCCACCCATCATTTGTGAAAGAGAAAGCCGAGTAAGGCGGGCATCTCACTGACGGGCAGAGGAGTTTCCTGCCAGGGAATAAGGAGAGCAAAGTACTTGTTCTGGTGGCACTGTAGGATAAGCGCTGGACTGTTAATGATGAGGTTGGCAGTTCAAACTCACCAGCCGCTCCACAGGAGAAAGTTGAGGTTTTCTGCCCCTGTAACGATTGATAGCCTCGGAAACGCAGTGAGTCGAATTTGACTCGATGGTAAAAACTCAATAAATATATTTTACTAATTTTCACTGACAGTTGCCAGGCTCTGGTTGCCTGTGGGATGCCTTGGTGTCAGAGTTCACTGGGCAGTAGCTGACCTCACTCCATACCTCTTAGATGTGCTGGGTGTGGAATCCCCAGGGTGGCGACTGCAAGGTGGGCTGGAGAGACCCCGCCCATTGGTCATGGGAAGGCCCCCCGGTGGACCTGGCCACTACCCTACACAGAGGAAGTCAGGCTCCCCGCCTCTTGACGATGTGGAAAGCAGATGTTTCCCTCTCAGCCACAGGGCCAACTGAGGGCGCAGGCCCGGGGTGAGGGCGATCGGCTTGCTGCACTCGGCAGCCTGCTGGGGGTATGTGGCTACCAGAGCTGCTAACGCCCACTTCCAGCCCCGCTCCCATGTGATGGGCCCCTCCTGATTTGTTTTCCATTTGCCCCAGGGTCCTGAACATGTGCAGGAAATTCGGTCTGGAAAGATAAAAAGGGCTGGTCCTACTTTTGTCATGATTTGGAGACCCGAGGGGACCTTTCTCCTCCGTTCTGAAGGAGTGCTGTGAATCACAGTGGATTCAATGGCAAGAAGTTGGGGGTTTTTGGTTTTGGGTGGCGGCTCAGCAGGGTCAGGGTATTCCCTGAGCTTTCCTTGAGGCCTGGGGCCGATCCGTCGGGCCAGGGGCCTGGGGACGTGCCTGTTGTACACATCTCTGAGCACCTTGAAAAGGACTGTTCTCCTGTGTCAGCAGAGAAAGACGACCTCGGGGACAGCATTCCTTCTTCAGGGCTGCCCTATGACCGATAAAGGACATTCCAAAGAGTATCTCGATCTGGGTGGGGCAGGTGGCCTTCGCCCCCAGAACTGCAGCTCAGCTGTACTGTCCAGGCAGTGCCTGTGTGGAGGGGTTTTCTGTGGCAGGTCCCCAGGGGGGAGGAGGCGGGGTTAGCCCCTTTATGCTGCACCATTGTGTTTCAGTAGCTGTGAGTTGAGCCTTGACTCCCGCACCTCAGTTTCCCCGTGGTCAGTGTGCCAGCAGGCCTGTGGGGTTTCCATTTGGATTAGAATGGAGCCCTGGTTGGCTTTGCACCGCGTGTACCAGCTCCATGTAATCACCACAGCTATCAGGAAACTACTGCTTTTCAGTGAAGAAACGGCCTTAGGAAAGTCAGTCATTGGCCCAGGATGGCCCACAGACTGCCCAGTGTCTGCTCCAGGGTTTGAACTCCGGTCGGAGTTGTGTGCACCGTTGGCCTGGCCAAGAGCCCGGGCCATGGTCAGGGGATTAGGCTCTGTCTAGACCATGGCTGGTGGAGTCATTGGGGGGCTTTCATTCCCAGAGTAGATCTCGGGGCAAGCCTCATCTTCCTTCCCATCCTCCCTGCCTTCAACCAGGGCTCTCCCACCTGCCCCCCTGCTGCTGCTCCCTGATACTCAGGTTCCTCCCGCAGTGGAGCTGTAGTATGAGCAGTCCTCACTTCCTGTCCACCCTCGTGCCTAACCTCCTCCGGAGATGCCACACCCCGAAAAGCCCCTCATTAGGGGATTTCTGCTGACCCCGAAAGCCAAGAGAAAAGCTGAGTGCAATGTCTCTCTAAGGTCACAGCACCCACCACGGAGATCACAGCAAATGTTCCGCTTCCAGCCCCCCACTGGGAGCCACACCCTAAATGGGACCGGTGGCAGCCCTGAGCTGCTCGATGCTGTTGGCTAGAATTTGTGTGTGTTAGGCTCTCACCTCGGTGCCTGGCACACAGGTCAGTGGTGATACAGAGCAGAGCCTCTCCATAGGGTTCCTTGAATGTCATCTTTATGACCAGACCTTTTCTTCCTCCGCCCACTGGGTAGGTTTGAACTGCAACCTTCAGTTAGCAGCAGATCCCAAATCCCCCCTGTTAACTAGCTAATACTGTTATTGCCAAGTACACTCAAGTTGGTTCCAACTCATAGTGACCCTGTATAGAGTTTCTGAGGAGCAGCTGGTGGGTTTGAACTGCTGACTTGTGGTTAGCAGTTCAGTGCTGATCCTACAGCACCATTCCAGGACTCCAGCTAATTACTAAAGGCACTGAAACGGCCAGGATTTCCCAGAGTCCCTGGACCAGAGAAACCTTTCTCTGAGTAAGAGCCGCTCCCATCCTGAGGAGGATGCTGAGGGCACGCTGACTCAGCTGGGGTTTCCCTTCCAATTCCAGAATTTTCTCGCTGGGGCTACCCAGCTTTAGCATTCCCACCCTCCTCAGAATCTCCCTCTACAGTCCCCCCTCTGCTGTTCTCTGTCCTTTCTGGTCCAGCCGGGCAGCACTTGGCTGGGAGTCCTTTAGGCGCTGTGTGGGGTAGACTGCGGTGAGCTGCAGGCAAGGATGTGGAGTGGTACCAAGTGGTGCCTGGTGCCCGGCACCTGTTCCACCGGCTGCGAGCACGTTGGCGGGCTGGGGTGACAGCTGGGGTGGCAGCTGGCGAGATGCTGGTAGATGCTGGCGTTCTATTTGGGGTGCGAGGCCCTGAGCTCCCGATACAGAGTGTGT